TTTAATTACTGTACCCCGCAGGGACGACGTGTAGGGAGGCGTGTGAGAGGCGGAGAGACTATTAAAAGATTAGGCGGTTTTTCTTTCATGTACGTCCGCCATTTTTAGGTCACCGGCTTTGTAAAGCCTGGCTTAATTCGTTGAGAATCCGCTCTTAGGCATTGTTATCAGAGATATTATTAGCATTTCAATCAGAATATAGCTGACTTAAAAGAAGCAAGTGGTACATTAACTGGGAACATGGCCCAGAATGATAAGATACACACATTTGGAAAGAAATTACAGTATCTGTCCAATATGTTCATTGATGTAATATCTATGTAGTACCAGTAGTACTTTTAAGGAATTGTAGGGCGCATGGATGCCCATTTAACTTAATAAGGTTATTTTATATATATTATTTTTAATACAATCTGTTTACCCTAATGAAATGGTATTTATTCAGTTGAGCAAAATAATTTTATTTTCTTTTGATTTCAAAACATTGATGTGTTTTGAGCATTGATGAATATCATAATTGCAGTTTTGTTCAGTATTTTTTATTTGATAAAAAATGAAATAAAATTGAATTACATTGAATTAAAAAAGAGAAGAAATGGTTAACTTTGGTTAGTATGTACTAGAGTGCCTGGGCTATAGTCATATGGCATCTGCTGCATGTGCACTGCGTTTCTGTAACTAGTACCAGGAATATAATTTGCATTATTTTTTATTAGACTCTAATGGAGACTTCTTTAACCATCGAATGTATACTACACACTCATAACATCTGTACGATTTTCACAAAGACCACATTTAAATTTACACATCATACTAGCTGGGTCAGTCTCATTCTGAAGGCAATTCTTGCTAAAGTGCAATCAGTGGAATCAGCTTACTTGTCTGACATGTCTCCTTTAGCAGTGATTAACAACTGTGTGCTTATTAAGCTGATTCTACTGATTGCACTTAAGTGAGAATCCTCCTCCCCTCTGAGTTGGACCAACCCAGCTAGTACATTGTGTGAATCTGAATATTCCAATGAAAACCAAGGGAAATTTAAACAATCACAGCTAGTCTGGCTGCTTAGATATGTACTTGTTACACCTACTGTATGAACAGCTGATCCTAGGACTGGCATAGACAGGTGTGATTATGTATTACTATAGCACCTGAATAAATGTCATCCTAATATGACCACTCCTTAATGTCTCTTAACAGTGGCCAGATGGGGCTTTCCCAAAGCATAACAATTTTAAAAGTAGTCATATATTACTATATAATATATTTTTATAGTTTATTAGCTAAAATCTTCACACTTACAGTTATGATGCAAGGCACAGTAAATAAAAAAAAAAAGAACATGAAAATTTGATAAGGACATCTATTGAGGACATTAAATGATAGATTTGTCATAAAGATTCATATTTGGCAAAAAAAAAAAAAGGAAAAGAAAAAGGATTTAGAGTAACCCCTCCCGAGTAGTATGTATAAAGACTGGCAGCGGAGGTCTCTCAGATGATTTTTCATGGGGTCAGGATGCTTGTCTGCCATATGTGCCTGCATAAAATAAATGTAAATCATTCTCTTCATTGAAGACCTGTGCCAAGTTTTTGACCTCTGTCTTATAAGACATACTTGCATGACCTAACAAGCCATGAATTGCACATGCTAATATTTGATTTCAGGTTATGGACAAATAGTGAAACTGCTTAGTCATCAATGGACCTTTTTAGGTCACTTGGATTTACGTCACCAATTCAAAAGTCAAATCCCTTGCCTAAGTCACACCTAGCTACTAGTAACCCTTCACAAAAAGGTGTAAATTTTCAAAATTTATGGCATAAAGTTAAACATCCCACTTTAAGCAAATATTAGGCAGTGCATGTACAATATACAGCCTGTGTTTTTTCAAGGGGAGTAATCTGATATAAGTAAGTTGAAGTTTTTATTTTTTTTTTTCTTGCAATAGGACTGTTATATTACTTTTGATCTTACTAGAGAAAAATCATGAAGTTGTCTTATTAATCACCCCTATGTCTATTGTGCTTTTGTTGCAGCTTTTTTATGCCCTTTGACTTTGCAATGCTGTTAACCCACTTGGGAGATCGGACCCCTTTAAAATAAAATGGTCATTTTTGGCGCTTATCTTTATCTTGGTGTTCTCTTTCATAAGCTGCCTTACAAGGATGTAAAATATGGCTTTGGCTTGAAGTTTAAAGTCAAGTTTCCGAGATTCCCTGAGGAGTTAGTGCACAAGAGCTTGTGTGACATACGTGTAACTCATTCTGAAAGACCCCTTAGACAGAAAGCCAAGTTTCACCATGACTATATATAAGAAGTTGCAAGGTACATGTATTATAATTCCTCTAGCTTACATATTAGATTAAAGACCACAAAAATCCTGTAGACCTGTACAGTCTCATTAAGGCGATGGGTTTCCTCACTTTCCCTATTGAACTGTCTTTTAATGGCCAACCTTGAACCATGTACTGTGAGAGATGGCATGTGCTCCTACTTCTTAGCTTATGGAGGGAAATGTAGGTACCCTTGTAGACCTAGGCTATGGACATGTACTAGTTTACTTTTTTTTTGCCCTTATATTATATATAGCTTTTGTCCAGGTGAGTGATCATGCCATTGGTTGCATAATATGTGGACCATAAGTTATGAAACATTAAAATATTACTGTAATACAAGTATGACTAATACCCTAGAGTTGGTTTTGATATACCCAGTAATGCATGAAACTTTAGCCTGAATAGTGTTCTTAACTTTGAGAGCAAACTTTTGGTCCAATTTATTTGGGGATAAAAGCGCAGCAGTCTACTTTAGGTCTAGGGTAGTAGTAAATGGTCTTAAGCAGTGTTATTTTCTGCTTCTTGTTATATAACAAGCACAATATTTCATTTAGGTGGACTACCACTGATTTATTGTGGGTCAAGCTATACTCATATTTTCTTCTAATGTTTGATCTACATTTTCTTTTTGTGAAACAGGTACCATGAATAAGACAATCCTCTTCTACTGTGGGCTGACCATTTAGTAAAGATACATGTAAATGTAAGATGCTTAAGAAACCACTCCAAATGTTTGCAATCACACTTAAAAGTGTTTGCAATTATAGCTAAGCACATTATTAATGAAAAGGCCACGATAAGCAGTTCATTGCAGTGACGTAAGGATTACCATTGATTTGGTGAATGATAAAATTGAAGGTTAAAAGTAGGATACCTACTCTAGGTATGTATCTATGATATTTTTCATTATGCTGTGAATCTATTTCCATATGCCTCACTGCAGAGTACACATGTACCTGTGGCAGGACATCAAGTCTGGAGATGTATACTGTATAAGAGTCAAAAACAACTGGTGGATGATGATTTTTTTTATCTGTCTACAATACACAGTTACTTAATATTTGAAATAGTTTATATACTGAGGTGGTTGTTCAAATGCTGAAGGTACTAGTAAATGCAAATTTCTTAGGCAAACTTAAACTGTTATCAGTGAGGATAAAGCTGGGTCTCAAATACTTAGGAGTCCTTGTTATACCTGAAGTGGATAATTAGCATTGTTTGTCTGGTTCTGTATAAAATTCACAATGCGTTGCAGACATGACTAGGAAGATATTGAAGGGTTGAGGGCCTTCTGATATCTTGATATTGTGGGTGCTGCCCATATATTTAACAGGTGTAATTTTTACTGTGAGATAGTTGATCCATAGTATTAGACAATACATGCTATTAGGTTTTTTTTTTATTGTTTTCCTTTACTCAAAATTAATTTGAACAGTTCTTGAAATAAAATTGAAAAATTAAAAAAAGGAAGTGTACAGACAGCTGGATTTAATATGATCACATCAGAGTGGTGAATTAGAAATAATTGTTGGACTAATAGTTCTGATTAATTCAGGGTTATAAAAATATTCAGGGAAATTACCAACCAGTTATCAGGTATTTCATGTTTCTTTGCCCAAATGAATTTGAGTGCTAATTTCCCACTCAAAACCAGGAAGAGAAAGCATAGTTTTTGACACTCGCCCTACATGTGGTTTAAGCTGTTTAATAAATCATAAAGCATAGGTTTTTTATCTTAAATTTATGGTCAGATCTATTTGTGGCGTACATAATGAAATAATGATGAAATTTGAATGTTTGAGTAAGAATTTTACAATGATAATAAACTTAATTTAAAGAGGGTAAAACATGTAAAGTGTATGTACAGTACTTATCTACACATGACCCTCAGATTTTGAAAGAAACGAGTGTCAAATGTTGATATTATAAATTGAACTGCTTTTATATAATTGCAGTGAAAATATGAAAATATGAATATGATTAAAGTTATTTCTGCTTTTTATGACTGTCAAATATCAAGACCCCCAAAAATATATTTGCTAGTATAATTGGGTTGAGGCGGTATGTTCTGCCTTACTGTCTTAGCTCCATTTGCTCACGTGTACCATGACATGTGATGCAGTGAACGGACTTGACTCTAACCAATCACCTGCTGTAACTAAAACATAATTCGGCAAAATATTTAATGAAGTACTTTGAAAAGTTAGCAAATATTCCCCACGCATATTATATCATGCAACAAGGAGAACAACAGCCAATCCAAGGACAAGGCTGTAGTATGATATGTGAGCCAGCCGTCCAAAAAGTTGCTGTGTCATCCTGGTATTTAAAGGTGACAGCAGGCTGGACTTTATAAAACTCTATAAGGGCCCCTGGAACCAGACTGATGGAAGAAGGAAACACAATGGCTTTATTGATTTTAAGGTAGAGCTAATGGGCCTGTGCCAATAATTGATATAACTAGCAAAGAGGAACTGTGATATGAATATTTTGCATCCAGCTTTTTTTCCTTTTCAAAAATTTGAAAGATTGACATGACTCTGTTGACTTAATTCTAGATTGACCTTGAATCAGTTTTTTTTTTTTGTTTTTTTTGTTTTTTTTTTTAAGAAAGTCATTGTGATATTTGTACTTGACTTTTTGTTGAAGACAATAATCTAAACTACAATATAATTGTTTTTCTTGTCTTCATATGGATTTATGCCACTGTCATTGTCATTTTATTGCCTTACTATTAAGGAATTGATTGTTGTATAATGAACCTTGTAATGATATGCTACATTTAAGAATTTTTGAATCCTTTAGCTATAGAACATTGGATCGAAGATATATATATATATATATATATATATATATATATATATATATATATATATATATATATATATATATATATATATATATATAATTCATGAATTATACATTATATATATATAGATAGATAGGTAGATAGATAGATAGATAGATATAGATATAATTCATGAATTCAGAAACAATGCTGTTTTAACTGACCAACAGATACTACATTTTTTAGAGGGCATATTGTCATAATAATTCTCTAGGCATATATAGTTTTTAAACCCATGATATCATTACACATAGCTTAAAATATGTAAAATTGTGTATTTGGTAAAGAAAAATCACCACTGTGCACTGGTCTTGTGAATAGGATCCCAGACACTAAAACTGAAAATGATTCATGATTAATAGCAGTCAAGGATGGGCCAAACTCATCTAGTACAGGTGAAAGAATTCTTATGTAAGTGAACAGTCCTGTTGGAGTCAGAGAAGATTTATGTTACATGGACATGTCAGAGTGAGTGATGTGTTTGCTTTTGAATAAGCCAGCAATCATGAATGAAAAAATTGGTCCTGTCTTAAGAAATACAGTTAGCATTTTAGAAATATGTTGTTGCTTTTCTCTTTCAGATTACAATGGGACCTTAGACCAACCAAAGTGAGTTTTGTAACAAAGACTGAGGATGTCTGCACCAGTGAAGAAAGAGTGTGGGTCTAACCAGCTTCTGAAAAAGGAGTGTGGGTCAAACCCACTTAACAAAGGTGGCTGCTATAGGCCCAGGCCTGTTTCAGGCGACAGGCCTCTGGATGGGAGCATGCATTTTACCATAATGAAACAAACCAAAGAGTCCTTTGAGGTGATCAATACCTTGCGCCATGCTAAGAAGCTCTGCGATGTGACACTAATCGCAGGTGATGAGTCGTTTCTAGCGCACAAACTAGTCCTGGCAGCAGCCAGCCCGTATTTCAAAGCCATGTTTACAAGTGGGATGCGGGAGTGTGGGATGGCTGATATCCCGCTTCAGGGAATTACTCCATGTACTTTAGCCACTCTCATAGAGTTTGCTTACACGGCAGAGATTCATATCAATGAGATGAATGTGTGCTATCTTCTCCCTGCTGCCACAATGTTCCAAATGACGCATGTTGTGGAAGCATGCTGTACGTTTTTAGAACACCAACTGGACCCCAGTAATTGTATAGGAATTGCTAACTTTGCTCAGGAACATGGATGTACAGAGTTAAACAATAAAGCCCGGGAGTATATCTGTAAACATTTCAGCCAGGTTTGCCAGAGCGAGGAATTTTTAATGTTATCGCCATGCCAAATGGTGCATTTAATTAACCAGGACGAACTGAACGTGCGCTGTGAGTCCGAAGTTTATAATGCTGTGATACAATGGGTGAAACAAGACGAGGACCGACGTCGGCCCAAATTAGAACAGTTATTATGCGCTGTAAGGTGCCACTTCCTCACCCCAGGCTTCCTCAAACAGCAAATCAAATACTGTGATGTCCTCAAAAACAATCCTTCTTGTAAAGTCTACCTTGAGAGGATATTTGCTGATTTGACGTTGCACAAAAAATGTACGGATCGTAGGCGGTTACCCCCTGCCCCACCTGTGATATACACTGCAGGAGGCTATCTCAGGCAGTCTTTAAGCAATTTCGAAGCATTCAACCCCCAAACGGGGGAGTGGTTTAAACTCGCTGATCTTCCATTGCCTCGGAGTGGGCTTGCCACTGTTGTCGTTCATCATATCATATATGCTGTAGGTGGCAGGAATAACTCCCCTGATGGGAATATGGATTCCAATGCCGCGGACTGCTATGAACCTTTTACGAATTTATGGAGGACTCTGCCTCCCATGTCAGTTCCTAGGAATAGAGTGGGGGTGGGGAATATTGATGGTATGTTGTATGCTGTTGGAGGGTCACATGGAACTATACATCATAAATCTGTGGAGAGGTAGGTTATTTATAATGTAAATATAAATTTTTTATTTTGCAGATTAGAACCTCAACAGAACTTGGGCCAACATAGCACAAAGTTAGGAAAAAATATCAGTTATTTCAGATTAACTTCTGGATATTTGTTAAAATGGCGCAATGCTTGGAAGAATTTAAATTAGATAGAAATTTCTTTCAAGTTTACATGTTATTGTAGAAATGAACTCCTGTTGTAAATTAATCAGATTAGAAATTCTTCCATTTTTTGGAACTTTCACTAATCGGATTCCACCCATCAGTCCCACCTTCATTTAGCTTAAAACTGGCTAGGTGAAAATTTCTTTCTGATTGTATTTATTCCTGATGACTGGCGTCACTGTCTATTTTTTCTCCAGGTTTGACCCGGAGAGAGAAGAATGGTCATTTGTGGCCCCAATGGCCACTCCCAGGATAGGGGTGGGCGTGGCAACTATCAATCGCCTGTTGTATGCTGTGGGAGGGTTTGATGGACATAACAGACTGGCTTCCACAGAGTGCTATTACCCAGAGACTGACGAGTGGAAACTGCTGGCTTCCATGAATACAACACGGAGTGGAGCTGGTTAGTACATGTGTACTGATTTTAGCATGAAATATGGACTCCCCAAGAAATAAGCATTCCTCCCACTAAAAGGCGCAAGTGTTGTATGGATTCACTGTATCATCTTGTTTACTTGCAGTATGTATGATGAAGCACACAGGAGAGACTCAGTGTAGATTTCATGGGGGAGTATTTATTTTATTATAAAATATGGACTGGGGAGTATGTGTTTAGGGGATTCCAAATTTCATGGTACTCTTGAAGTAATCTCTGCACATTGTAATATAGTTTAAGTTACAGCATTGCCACATTGTCCAATGATCCCAGAATTATCTACATGTATGTGTGGCAGTTGACAATCATGGAGATGTCAATATGATATGTAATATGTACAATGTGAATCTCTGAGTTTTAAGTGAAATACAGATGCATGATTTTACTTGTAAATCTGTGACTGGTACTGTGCCTGATTTTTACCACAGATAATGCAGAAAGACAGAGAAAGGCATGTGGCACTCAAACTAGTGCCAGGGTGTTTGCTTATTACAATATATCAGGGCCCTCACTTTTCAGAGTCATCCACGGTGTATAGATGTATTATAGATAGTATTTTTGCATGATTTTCAGTCATCTTACGTCAGTTTAACTGATAGATATACCTGTAAATTGCTCAGTGACATCCTGTGAAGTGTTCCCAGGTTAAATATATGTACCAGCTAGTGCCAGTCTGAAACATCATACTGGAATGTCTTGACAACTATTTTAAACAGAAAAGTACACTGTCATTTTATAGATACAATTATATACTATCGAGAGCGCCGCCCTTATTTCAGTGTGGGCTGGATAGGTTATAACCTGCAAATGTTCGATCAGAGGTTTACAATAAATATTGTTGAAATATACATTATATTATGATAAATGATCTTTTGAAACAGGATATGTTTTCTGCAATGCAATGGACATGTTGTTGAAATTCACAGGAAAGGTTTCTTTGTGATTTGACCTAAGTTTTTTGTTATATTTCTGACTTTATAATAAGGAATTATAAAACTTATTTTATTAGATAGTGCACATGTACTAGCAGCACATCTAGTCTGAACATCGAAAGTAAAATGCATGCAAATTATCTTTTCATATTGATGTGTCTCAGATATCTAGATTATATGTGTGGGGCGGTATGCAACATTCATAATTGATAACTGATTGCAGAGTCATTCAGTCAATGCTGGTTGTCACGTACATAGGACAGGGAATTTCATTTATCTTGAAATAGTTGTGAAATCTTATAGTGATATCTTGAAGTGTTTTCATTGTTGACGCTGCCTAAATTGGCAGTGAATTTGCTTTCACTCCCCCACTTTTTATTTTATTTATTTTTTTTTTGGGGGGGGGGCTACAGCAGATTGATTTGATTTTAGCCATGAGTTCCTAATTATAAAGACATTAGCACCATTTCTATGCCCAAGAGGTCTCCTTCATGTAGTTAGAAGCACCAGTGGCTGTAGCTGTTAAGGCTAATGATGGTATCACTGTGATATAATGGCTGTCTGTGCAGGATTTGCAGATTATCTGTGTGTATTAAGTATACCCAGTTCTGGCCTGGTGTTTGAAGTTATTACTGTTGCCTTGCACATCTATTTTCTGCAGTGTGTACTAGATAAATTTGAAACTAAAATGTCATACAAATGCACACCTGCACTGTGTATTCTTACATTGAATGCATACATGAGTAATAAAAATATATATACATGTTGTGCACATGATATGCAAATATAAAATGCATGCTTTGCTTTATCATTATTGGATGTGTAGTTCAACAAAACATAAATTCCAAATCCAAGTGAAATACAGCTCTTTAGGATATTTTCAGCATTTCAGAGGTTTTTTCTTTGCACAGTATTTAAATTGTAGCTTTTTGTTATTTCTCATCCAGGCGTAGTCTCTATGGACCAGTATGTGTATGCAGTGGGGGGATATGATGGCACAAGTCAGCTTCGCACTGTTGAGAGATTAGACACGGAGGCCAACGTCTGGGAGTTTGTGGCGCCAATGAACAGACCCAGGAGTGCATTAGCCTGTGCAGTATTGGAGGGAAAACTCTACGCATTAGGTATATATATATAAATATATATATAGTACAGTAGGCTTGCTTTGATTAGCTGAGGCAGTGGCTCAACAGGCACATGCCACCCAACCCCCCCCCACTCCACCCCCAGCTTTGGAACTCCCCTTTTCTCCCCCTCCCAAAAAAACAAACAAATAGATAAATAAATAAATAAATAAATAGATAGATAAAAAATGGAAGAAGAAGAAGAAAGACAACTGTATATCAAATTCAATAAGAGAATATCATGCCATTGTTTCATCTCAGTGCCCTACATATAAAAGTAGAATTATACTTGTCTTCTGGTTGCTGGTTGCTGATCAAAGCACAGAAAAAAATTTCTTATCCTTGGGTTCCTCCTTAGGATAGGCATTAGTGAGTAGCTTTGTTGTCATGGCACAATAGGTGTCAATTCATGTTATGTTGCAAAGTGGTGTGTAAAATTCTTATGTAAAGCTAGACATTTTGATTTGATAAGTCATTTTAAATAGTTGTATAAAAGGGGAATACACCCTAAAGAAACTAGAGGGATGTTATGTAAGTGTTGGCCCTGATAATGCCAAGTAGCAATCCAGGGTGACTTGCAGAAAATTTGTGCTTTGAAAGTGACCTGTATTCTTTATATATTTCGCTCCATACATGCTACAAAAGGATAGCATTTCAATTCACCTACTTATGTAACTGCACAAAAAAGACATTTACACTGATGGTACAAGTCAGCTTCAGCAGTTTTGACTTGATGAGAATTTATGTCAGCTGTGATAAATAAGCAAATCAGTTTTGGGTTTTTTTTCTTATTATGTATGACATTTTACCTGTATTACAATGTACAAGTAAAAACTATGTTATAAAGAAAAAAATAAAGATAAAAAACACTTTTTTATTGCAGGTGGTTATGATGGCAATGACTTCCTATCATCAGTAGAATGCTACAACCCTGACCGAAATGAGTGGACAGAAGTGACCAACATGTCATGTGGTCGTAGTGGACACGGCGTATGCATTGGGATGGAGCCGTGCACTAAGTAATTGCAGTCTTCTCATATTTTGCACATCACTGATCCCTTGCAATCAATGTGGAAAAATGTTAAATTCATGCTTTGCAATAGAATTTGAAGAAAAGCTTCAAATGCAGCTTGATTCAGGCATTGATTGAATATCACAATCAGTCTTGAAATTACAATTGAAAAACAATCCAGCTTCATGCTTGATTACAGAAATGAAAATGGATAAATTTATATTTAATTAAAATGATAATTGACTGCCTTTAAATTGGCACCAAATGAAGCCAGTGAAAGTATTTGTGCTTTTAGTCAACTATCAGCATTTTTGCCCCATCAGGTCTTATCTTGAGTGATTAAGGTCACAATCCCAAGCCAACTGAAGGTCGGGGGGGGGGGGGGGTAGTTGCATCTGTAACTATTGCCACAACTGCAGTTTTTTTTCTCTTTTTCATGATATTGCTTTTATCTTCTTTAAGTATAGTATAGCATGTCAGCTATAGAGTACTCTTCAGTCTGAAATAACAGTAGCATGCTGGTTAGTTTAAAAAGAAAACTAGGTATCTTTCTCCTATTCCTAGGTATTGCAATGACTAAAACATGGGCAAGATTGGTCCAATCTCATTCTGAAAAACTACTAAATGATATGGCGGACAGTACACCAGCTTGGAGAAGATACTGCCACTATATCTAGGTCAATCAGTGCCTGCAGATCTAGGTCTACATGGTGTTGAAGGACTCACCCAAGAGCTTCTTATGGAACTTACCTAGAAAATAATGTAGAGCAGCTGAAACCATTTTCGGTCCCTAGCATTTGTTGTGTTCAGTGGTGTATGAAAAATAATGTCGTCTTTCATCTTCAGTGGTATATTATCAGTAACCAATCCAAGGTACCACATTAAGTATCAGGGTATCTGGCAGCGTGAAACGTAATAATACTCACTGCTAATATTACGCCTAATTTTCTGTGCCTGATTCTTGCATTAATAACACAAGCTTATTTCTAAATGGCATGCTATTCATTTTGGTGGGATGAAGGATATGTGTGAAAATATTCTTGGTCTATAACTTGGACTATCACAAGAGTGTACTTCAAGGATCTGTTTACTTTGGTGCTCCTTTTTTTTTCTGTTTCAATAAAACAGTGGAAGCCATAACTTTATTATTTAAATAAAGCTGCGATGCTGTTTTGAATTCTTTCCTGACAGTCTTGCCCATGGTTTTATTTCTTCAGTTTGACTGACTACCCAAGGGGTGTGGTGTCTACTAATATCTATAACCTGTTGGGATGTAACTAATACCAGATGACACTGAAAACTTATCTTCACCTGCGTAGAAATTGCCAGTATATCTCAATATCTTTAATCTGCTTTAATAGAAAAATTAATCATAGTTACCATATGTCTTTATTTTTCTATTCAATTTTGAAAATCTATGTTGTGATAACTGTTGTGCACAGTTTTCAGTGGGATCATTATATTATGAAGTTTTATGATGATGAATAATTGATCTGAATAAATCCTGTTCTTTTGCCTGTTGCTGGTAGTTGATACAGACAAGGATTATGGGGGAATTCTAATTGTTGATAGATGAAATGATGTTTCATGAAAGAGGCATCTTTTTTTAGTAGTTTTAGTATTTATTATGTTGGATGATGATAATATTGCTAGATATGCTTTTGTCATGCTTATTGAGTTATACATAAGTATCCATGCAGTTCTCTTTAAAAAAAGTAAATTATTATTCTCTTCTTTCACCATAGTTTTTTTTCTTTCTTCAAAGAATAATTTTGGGTTTTAACAAAACAGTATAAACAGTTGTGTGCAGTAATAAAAGACAATATGATTTTCATATTACTACTGAGATGCAACTGTCTTGGAATTTATATGTGACTCTTAAAATCAGTTAAACTTGCTTAAACTAGTTTACAGAGAAATTGAACTGTATACTACGCACGCAGTACTCCACCCTCAATTTATGACTTGATAAGTATTACATGTGTCTATTGATTGAGTAAATAGAAATGCTGTGATAAGCTAGGCTTTCACCAGGTCATGAAATAACAACATGGTCACTTGTAAGATGCCACATGACTCAGCAAATTATTTACCTGAAGGGGACAAGAAATGTTATGACCATGACATGCAACATTAATTAAAGGGTATCAATAAGTTTGACCTTAATTTGGCACCTAGCCCTAATGAATAAAATAATAATAATAATAATAACAATAATAATAATATATACAGTTACCAGTGCCTCCTTCTTATCATACCTGTCCCTTACAACCTCATTTTACAGCTTACCATGTTGTATTTCATTCACATTTTTGTGTTGTCAACTAAAGTTAACTTACAAGTAGTTTTAAATCATATGAGTACAATAAAGTTTAAAGGAAAAGAATCAAGTTATGCTGATCAACTCTGTTTGATGTGTTGACATACTATTCCTTGTTTGGTATTTTGAGTGATGTATGCTGCATGAATTGAATGTAGGGGAGTAGTAAAGGTAATTGGCTTTCCTGGGGTTGCTTGCTTTGCATTTGCAGACTCTTAAACACGCTTTGACACTTGTCTTCCTTTAATAAATAACTCACAGTATTTCATAACTAACAGTATTCTTTACCAACTAACTTTTACAGATTCTGTATCAAAATACCATGCTAAAATATCTGAGGATGGATATATACTGAACAACAAGGGTCATTATGTTGTTGCAAGTCTTTTGAAAGTTCAAGGTATTTATTTACTGGCAGTTAGTAAGTGTGTATACTCTCATATACCCATGTAAAACTGAAAGACATACATGTGCAACGTGGCCAGTTTTGGATGTCATTTGTTATATGGTGTCATTTGTTGAAACTTTGGAGCACACTCAATATAGCATACTCGGGTTACATCAGTACATGAACATGTACTGTTGAAATGCTCAGTAAAAAAGTGATGGATCAAGGAAGATAAAAGAGCATGTATGGTCAGTAATAAAACATACCTCTTATATAAAGTGGGAGTAATTATTGAGGGTTGCAGCAGTTTATGAGGATGGAGATAATATAAATAATATACTCATTTAGGTTGAAGCAATTTAGTTGCAATTTATTTGGTTAAAGTGATTTTTCAAAACCAGTCTTTTCTTTGTTGTGTTGCAGTAGTTTTGATATTCAGAAATGGAGAGAAAAATTTACATGCCAAAACGAAAATGAAAATCCAAGGTTTTCTATTATTCAGAGAGCTTTTGTTTTGATTTATAATTCACAGTGCTTTTTCAAGGCTTGGGTGAGAAAGTGCTCAATGCACCCTGTCCCAAGATCTACAATTATTGTTATAAAACAAATTGACATTTTGAAACATTTCTTGGTGAAGAATCATTTATGTTCTTCTAGATATTTTACTCCCCAACTTAAAACTGATGTTGTCAATCTGTGGTGTTCACACACTAAAATGTTACTAATACAGGTACATGTTTATGATATAAATGTATAGATTAATAAATTAACATAAGTTTTACCTTAAGGCAACAGTTACATAAAATACCTTCAAAAGAGAAAAACAGAAACTCCCACACTAAAGTACAAAAATAGATAAAAGTTCAACTTGTGATTAGAAAGCACTCCACTCCACAAGATCATGAAAAGAACAGTATTATGCTTGTCTGTCATTATCATAGATAAAAAAATGGATGAAGATTCACAAAGTGCATTACAAAATTTTAAAAATACATGTAATGACAGGTCAAGAAAAAAAAACTTCCTTAATCATTTGCTTCCTTATTATTTAAGAGTGACTGTGTATGTTGTGTTAGTTGAGTTCTTTACTCTACACCTGGCCTATTCTTGTTTTGTTAGAGAAGATCTCAGTAATGTGCAGTGATCTCAATGTATTAAGTCTTGTTCATTAATGTGAGTAATGTATTATATATATTTATGTGTGAATCCAGTGAGATTTTTAGATTAAGCTTTAGGGTGTACCTGTTAACTGACAACATCTCTTTAAGAAAAAATTAAAAGAGGTGTAAGAAATTGTGGATTTGATAGCATTTTCAAAAATATGAAATGTTACCTTAGTCTTTTCTGGTTTGTTGCAATTTATTTGGTTGACATTAATTTATCAAAGTCTTCTCCTGTCAACCACTTAACCACAGCATAATTGGCTAAGTACCTCTGTAAAATTCTAGCAGAAAACAATTTTGCATGGGAAAGAGAGTAGTGATGTTCCAAGTGCAGTGATAAACTAATATCACTGCTTTGAGTAACTAGTATGTATTTGAAGCTGAACTGCATAATGTTGAATAATTTCAGCTTTTCTGTTTCTTTTCTGATATTTTATATGTATGTAAGTCAGTTTTGGAGAAATAAGTGCTAGTACTTTTTATTCCATGTAAAAGATACTATAACTTGCATGACAAAATGTGTTCTTCAACCTGTCTTAAATGGTTCTGTAAATTGTTTGTAAATTATTTGTAAATAAAATATGCAGAATACAAATGTTAAACAAAGCAGATTTCATTGGTTTATCATCATCATCATCATCATTATCATCATCCTTTGCCCTTGGGTGGAATAGCAGCATGCTCAGACCACAGTTATTTCTGTCTCATTGATCCTAGTATTGCATTTGGTTGTAGATGAGGATCAATTGTTGGGGTGTCCTTGGACATATATTATGTCCAACGGGTGTCTGGATGGGTTAGATTTGATTTGCTACTGTTAGTTTTCCTGCCAGGTGAAAAGAAACTGTGGCACATCAGTAGCAAAGTTGGGAAAGCTGTAAGTATGTGAGCGAATACAAAAATATTGGTAGTTGTGCTGGGATTTACCAGTGGGTTGTGGAAAAGATTTTAAAACTTGGGCAAATGGCAGAAAATTTGTAATAAATAATGTGGAAACATCGGTAATGCTCAAAATCATGTGTGGTAGTTATATGGAACCCTAATGCCTTGTCCAGGGCAGTGATGAAGAGAAAAGGTGCCAACTATCACCCTATACTATAGGACACCTGCTGTAATGTAAAAGGGTTTGGTTTCCAAAGATAAATGACTGATGAGAAAACATTGTGCATACCGTATTTTGTATGTCTCTTCTAATATCACAGTGTACCAAAAACTTTCATAGTCCCATTCACAACAAGAAAGAAGGCAACGAAGAAAATTGATTGTTCGAGATTAGGCCAAACGAGGCCACTTTTATATAACCCCACTATCCTAATCATTTTAAGGATGGTACAAATTGTTGCCTGCATTAAATCTTATGGCCTAAGGGGGAAAAACATATATCAAATGTTCAATATGACTCGTCATCCTAAAAATTATGATTCAGTGAGTCAGCAAAAGCTATTATTTACAAATATTTTTGCACAGATTTCATTTGTGGGGTTGCAAAGAGTTTTATGTTCAGACACTGTGTCTTTATGTGTTCTGATCACTGTGTGTGCTCCTGTCATCAGTGTTGTTGTTGCCATCAGTCATATCTGCTGTTTGCCTGCCTGTTTGTTTGTTTAACTTGAAAATTAAACTGAGTAGCTTTGTTTTTTGAAAAAAAAGGTGGAATTTTTAATATTAGCATGATGAGATTATTTTTTATAAATCTCATTGATTTATTTAAATGTATTTTGGCAGTGTTGAAGCATTTTATATGAATTCAGTTTTTAAATTAAGAGGATGAACCTACACACATGCATTTAGATCGAGAACTTGTGTAAACTAGAAAAGCATTCCGAGAGTGCAGACCTCCACCAAGGCAGCAATTTTTTATTATTATTGATTATTGATTGATTACTGATCCAGATCACGACCAAAAACTAATCATCTGTTCCTTGGCCCACTTCTGACAGTTCCTGAAAATTTCATCAAAATGGATCCATAATTTTTTGACTTATGTTGATGACAGACAAACAAACAGGGGTGAAAACATAGCCTCCTTGGTGGAGGTAAAAAGTGAGTTCAGTGCAAAAGAAACTGTCATGGTTTGGAAGGCATGTATTCACTTTATGAAGACAGTCACTGAAGGCTTTAAAAGTTTGAAAATGTTTTCAATGTTTACTGGAACGTACACACACACACACACACACACACACACACACACATTGAAATGTAGCAATGAGAATTACTTTTTTTTTAAGTGTCTGTATATTTGACAGCTATACTGTCTAGTGCATGATCAAAACAGGTTATTGCAGAAGGTGAGGGAGTGTAAATTGTAACAGATATTCATGACAACTTAATTGATATGATAATATAATTTTATAGATCAATTATTGAGGTAAATGCCTAGGACAAAACTATTTTATACCTTTCTTAAGAAACAAGTCTAGTACGTAATTGCTGTCTAGTCTAGTGAATTATAAAAATGCATGTCAATTACACTGAATTTACACTGTTGCATATTTTAATTATTATGTACCAGACTGCTTTTGTCTTTCATAAAGTCAGACAATTTAATTATGAACTTAAAAAATACAATACTTGTGAAATAACAACATCTGAACCAGAATCTATTCATAAATAACATTTTTTTTTTCTAATTTTTAAAAAGTTTTCTACTTTAACCAGAACAACAAATTTCAACTGCATGCCGTGTCTCTGCCCCCAAAAATGCCACATTATTTAAAGCATACTATTAATGTGGAAAGTATTAGTAACCATATGTACTTTGACGGCTGTTTGTTATTGGTATTCACAACATTGTGCATCTCTGCATATAGCTCTCCACAGCTGTCTGGTGTTGGCTCATCTACCATGCCATTGGACCTCTTTGTCAAAACCATCTGGCATCAGATCTGTGTCAGGAAGTCATTATGATGGGCATGATTCAGTGTCATTATAACACTTCAACTATGTATAAATATATTTTTTTGTATATGTCACAACACAGGTTTTCTCTGCACTTTTTTTACCTCAGTGTCCATTTAAATGGACAGATTGAAAAGGATGCATTTCTTTAGATTTTGTAACAAAATAAAATATCTGAAAAGTACCAAGTCAGAATTTTGGTTTATTATCAAAACAATACCTCAGGCAAGCGTTTGTGTAGTACCTGCATGAATTTGCCTCTACCACTGATACTGTATACAGAAAGGTAATTTAAGTTAAAGGATTTAGTTTTATAGCCTGAAATCCTCAATAAACAAGATCAGCCAGCTTTACAATTGTGTGACTTGCAGGTGGCAACTTATTATTTTGTAAATAGAATTCTGGTACTTTTGTCCTGTGATGTGGACAGCAATAAGATTTTTCATAAGTGCAACTTGAAAACAAAATGTCATGTGTCACTTGATATGGGTGTAGGTACTTCATGCACTGCATAAAGAAATAATAGGTGGAGGTAGTTATACATAGGTACATGTAGTAAAACTGACATCTTTTTAATATGTACTCACCCAGTGTGTTTTCATTTTATAATTCACTGTATGTCTCTTGTAAGCATAATTGAAACTTGTGTATGTGCAAGATTGCATTGCAAAACGAAAATTTTTTGTTGAAATTTTAGTTTGAAAATTCACAAAGTGAGAATTTTGCTTCTTCACTTCACAGTAAGAATCACAGAGATCTCACTTTTTATATGGCTCAATATAACTGCATAATAATAACAATAAAGAACACATTATCCTTTGTATTTCTGAATCAAGCGTGCAGCTTGTTCTCTATGATTTACTTGTCAACGTTGACATGATGTAACCATATTTTATGAAAATGATCAAATTATGACCCCAGTGTTCCCTGTATGTCTGCTGGCTTGAGAGGTGTAGCCCAATACAAAGTACTTATAAACTTTTAGTTAATAAATTTGGTCTACTTCAGTTCAAGAAACATGTTCATGTTAATCCAAATTAAAGTTGGGCAGGTATCAGGCAGGTATTTCTTGATATAAAACAGACACACTATTCTTTTAAACTGCACTAATTTTGAAATATTGAGGGTCAAAATAGACTGAAATATTTGTCTTAAACACCGTTTCCATGTAAGAAAATGTACTTTATTACTTCCTTGGTCAGTGCATACTTACTAGATTAAGGGAAGTAAAACTCAGAGTCAAACTGGTGCTTTACTAGATGTATATCTAATATTAAAAGCTAAATAAGATAGGTGTATAGTACAATACAAATTACACCAATAAGTAAATACATTGAAATATCAAAGACACAGAGGAAGGCTCATTAGAAGAAGAATAAACTGAATTTATGGAAAATAGATCAAATAAGTATACAGGGTTCTCTCTGTCCTTATGTAATTAATATTCAATGTACAGTCAGGTATCATGATCATGCATATTTAATAACACCACTCCCTTTGCTTAAGAATAAAATATTTGTGAAGCTTAAGCTTTATATGAAGTAATTTATTTCAATAATTTAGGGCACCAAATTACATTCAATTATGATGAATTAAGCAACACATATACTTGTGATGCACTACTGCAAAACAACACTGAGACAAAAAACTGACATTCAATGAACATATAACAAATAAAACTACACGTTTTTATAATGCTTGTGAATGTAAACAGCATACATAAATGTATGTACAAGTATGGAAAATTAAGCAAATGCGATTCAATACACTGTAGTTATGTTTTCATATGGGAAAGTGTAAAATGCATTCTGAAGCAGTTTTTATGATGTCATGATGGGTGGACAGACATCAAATGGGCATTCCACAGCTAACTAACTAAATTTTAATGATTCTAATGAAGTGCTGGTGACAACCAAGTTCATTTGAGATAATTAACGTAATCTGCTATAGAATTTTTTTCCTCTCACAGTGCATTTTTTAAATGTTTCATTCAAGTGATAGAATTAATCATTTATATTAATAAATACTACAATTTAATAACCTCACTTTGTTGTTACAATTGCGAAATAGAAGACTTGTATTTTGTATATGTTTTTATGTATATTAATGTTGCCTTTACACTTTTTTGTACTCTAACCATATTTGGTAGCAGATACTACAATGCGCACACAACATAATTATCCTAAAATGAAAATGGAAAACATTTTCCATTGAACTTTTAAAACTCTGGATCTGAGAACTCATACTGTCTCAGTGGATTAGTGGTCATGTTGCCTGCCTTACTTTGCAAATCATCGAGCTTTTCACAAGAAACTGCCTGCACAGGATCAGGTTTGTCTTTCCCCTTGGAAAAATTTTTCTTTCGAAAACTTTGTCGTACTTTAGCCCAGATTCCACTACCTCTAATTTTGTCACTTCTGTCGAGAGCATCGGCAGCTTCACAAGTGTCATCAAAGCTCACTGATGTATGAGGTAAATGTGTATCATTTTCCAAAGAATGTGAGATCGGCATGTTTACAAGGGGCGTATCCAGTACCATGATGTTGTTGTTGTTGTTATTGTTATTGTTACTGTTATCTCCCCTGCTGTTGACAGGCTGTGAAGTAGGTGTATTTTGGTTGGAAATTGCTGCATTTTGCAAGCTCGTGTTTTCGCCATGACCAATGCGGGTTTCTTTATATGTTATAGTTTGCAGGTGGTGGTGCTTTTCTCCATGATTGTTATGACCCGTGAAAACCTTTCGCAGTTTTGATCTTAGAGTTTTTCCTACTGATGCCTTTGAGGCCCTTCGTTCTTTATCTTCTTTCAAATTTTTCTTTGGCGTAATGATTGGAGGCGCCACTCCTGTGTAACTCATTGATTCTTCAGTCAAGTATACTGAAAAATCCTCACCTCCATATTCATGATAGATCAAAGTTTTGTCCTCTGGGAGGACTAGTGTGTCCTCCGATTCTTCTTCATCAAAATCCAATGTCACCTCTGATACCTCGAATTCAACTTCATTTGATGATTCAGATTTTTCATCGTCTGCATAACTGTCAAAGTCTTCTTCACAGTCATTTCCACTACAGTATGCAAAATCTCCAGATATGTTCAGACTTTGGATGTCATAGTTCAATTTTGCAGCAGCACCACCACGGCTCGAGAAGCCATAAATGGTGGAATCCAAGTCATCGGTTTCTACGCCTGACGAAGTCAATTCGTGGTTGTCGTCGTACAAGGGGTTAGTTTTATGTTCTCTTCCTCTGTAGGAAGTCATGAATGCAGATATATCAAGGCTTTGGAAAACTTCAGAATCATCCTGCGTAATGACAGTAGTGTTGTCCTGAGCATCAGCAACTGAAATGTGTTGAGATTTTCTTCTGTGCGGGGTGTGGTGCATGCAACTGTCACAGTCTAACCTAGAATCGCTATGCAGCAGCTGGCCATGTTTGCATTCTTCTTTCATAGGCAACTCGTTAATATGAACTGCAGGTTTAAGTATAAAATTTTCATTTTGGTTTGCAGCTGTTACTGTGGCATCAATGTGTTTGTTAGTGTGACTTTTTCTCAAAGGAATTTTGGTATCATCACTTACATCCCGAGAAAGAATTTGGCCATTATTATTGTCATTTCTGTCCACTGCATCATTACTGTGGGAATTTTCTTTCATTTCTGATGATGGTGGAACATATTTTAGAAGAACAATACCACTGCTATCATTTTTTAGGGATTTTCCCTGCTGCTTGCCTTCAGTTTTTTGTGGAGTTTCTCTGTTGCTGTTGTAGCGAAAAATATCCTTGATGTGTTTAATTGTCCTTTCTTTAGCCATCATGACTAGCTGCATACAGGTGATCTGTCTTTGTTATATACTCTGCTCAAATTTTTGATTACGTTCACCTGAAGAAAAAATTGGCAAAATGTCAAAAGTATTTTATTTTTGATATTTCAGCATAGAGGTAAATTTTTCTTCGTAATAAATAATCAGACCCTTGGTGTTTGACTGCAGAAAGGTGTTGGGAAAATAAGCCAAAACAAAATTTAGAAAAAAATTAGCTTTTATGTAATTAAAAATAGAATAAAAATTATACCTACTTAGCTGTGCTTAATTCTTGAGAGAATAACTAATAAGCATGGCAAAGTTGGTATAATTTTTATTCTATGTCTATTCCAAAAAAGCTGTGCAAAATCTTTTTGAAGCAATATAAATCAAACATATTCTGTAACTTCAGGGCAGAAAAAAATGAGAAAATGACGATGCACAAGAGTGGCAGAAGCTTTAATAGCCTACAGTAAAAGTGCCACAATACCAGAAAAAGATGATGCATAAAATAAGTAAGACCAATACAGAATGTTATGCAGTCCTTCCAATGAAGAGGCATGTCACATTATTTTGAGAACTCACACGCAATAAAAGAAAAAGAAGAGAAAAAATGAGGAAAAAAAGGTAGACACAGATCTGTTTTACTGGAGGCATGTTTCATTACACAAATGTCACATGCTTAAACAGGTTGAACTGGTTTAGTGACATGGGATATGAAATGATTATCTAAAATAAAACCTAATTCAAAAAAGTATAATATATCTTTACTCTTGCAGTCAGATCTTGCTACTGATCATGGTGATCAGGTCAGGCTTCATGAAGAAAATGTACTCTACCTAACTATGAAAACCCTACTGAACAAAATGACTGTAAAATTGAAAATTGCAATGTGTGTTTTTCTTTACCTTATATTATCTATTACCTTTTCTCCTTCCTTGCAAAAATGAATCATCTGATTTCACCAATTATTCCAGCTTTATCTGTATCAGAAAAATGATTAAATCACACAATTTTATTAGTTGAATTGAGTTTCTCTGTTGTTGCTGTAGTGGCAAAAATATCCTTGATGTGTTTAATTGTCCTTTCTTAAGCCAACATAACTAGCTGCATATAGGTGATCCCTCTTTATTATATACTCTGCTCAAATTTTTGATTACATTCACCTGAAAAAAAATTGGCAAAATGTCAAAAGTATTTTTCTACTTTGATATTGCAGTATAGAGGTAATTTTTTCTTTGTAATCAAATCCTTGGTGACTGCAGAAAGGTGTTGGGGAAAATAAGCCAAAACAAAATTTAGAAAAAATTCAGCCTTTATGTAATTTGAAATAGAATAAATATTAAACCTACTTTGCTATGCTTAATTCTTGAGAGAATGAGAATATCTATTAACCATGGTAATGTGGGTATAGTTTTTATTCTGTCTATTTCATAAAATTTTGCAAAAAAGCTTTTTGAGAGAATATTAATCAAACATGTTCTATAACTTCAGGCATGGAAAAAAATGAGAAAATGACAATGCACAAAAGTGGCACAAGCTTTGATAGCCTATAGTAAAAGTGCCACAATACCAGAAAAAGGTGTTGCACTGAAATATATTTCCTTTAAAAAAAAGAAGAAGAAACCTGGCGCATAAAATAAGTATGTCTGACACGAAGAATGTTATGCAGTCCCTCTATTCAAGAGGTATGTCACATCATTCTGAAATATCACACGCAATAAAAGAAAAAGAAATGAAAAAAAAGGAAAAAAGGTGGACACTTTATACACAGATCTCTTTTACTGAAGGCATGTCTCATTGCACAAATGTCACATGCTTATACAGGTTGAACTGGTTTAGTGATGTGTATGAAATAAATATTTAAAATAAAACCTAATTTAAAAAAAACATAATATATCTTTACTCTTGCAGTCAGATCTTGCTACTGATCATGGTGATCAGGTCAGGCTTCATGAAGAAAATGCACTCAACCAAACTATGAAAACCCTGAAATTGAAATTTGTAATGTGTTTTTCTTTACTTATATTATCTATTACCTTTTCTCCTTCCTTGCAAAAATGAATCAGCTGATTTCACCAATTATTCCAGCTTTATCTGAACATGATTAAATCACACAATTTTATGAATTGAATTCAGTTTTGACATTTGTGGACCTTTTCATTTTTTTACACAATAACAGAATTCAGCAAAAAAGAATACATCAGAGGACAAAAATATTTTTTACTTTCTTTAAGTGAACAGTGCCAATATAAAGCAGTTAGAATATATGTTAACAGTTATGTAACAATATAAGAATTTTTCATATAGCTTTTCTTTCATACAAACTTAACAAAATGTTAAAATTGACAAATATCACAAATATTGAGCTATAAATCAAACCTGATGCATTATCCTGATGCATTTATAATCAATGAAAGTTTAGATATTCATAACCCCTCTTAATGTTATTAAAGTAGTATATTCCAAGACTGTTTTGGTACTAACACCAATGATAGCAGTGATTTTCATTCATACAAAAGAACGGAATCAAGTCCATTGCATTTATATAAAACTACTGACCTTAACACAATTTCCAATTGTTAGATCAAAATTACATATAATCCTAGTCCCCCATTCAATAATAATGAAAAAAAAAAACAGCAGAAAAGGATGATCTATTTTGTTTTCTAAATATAAAGAAATGAAAAAAAAAGTATATCACCTGTTAAAGCAGGTTTCCAGCAGTGGAGGTCTGGAGTGAGCGTGGGAGCGGGAGACTCAATCCCAGCACAGTCCCATTAAAGTCATATAGGGAATCCCAGTGAATTCGGCCATTAATGTCGCACTGCAAGAGAAGCCTTGGAAATACCACCGTGTCCCAGTGTGCAGTTGCTTTGGGCCATAAACTCATGCACACTCCACGATGCAATTAATATTCAGACTGTGTAGCCATCCCTGTTCCAGCCCAGAGGCATTCTTGGTGGGGTTGGTCATAGGTGAGCATCAGATCTTGTTTGGCAGGTGCAGCCCAATCTAATCTTCTTCATTGTTGGGCTTCTTTGTACCTGAGCAAATTTAACATATTTTAATACAGGTTTGAATTCTATTCATATACTGTTCCTGTCAAAAGACAGTTACTCCACCCAAAGTCTGGGTCCGCAAGACGCAATTTATTTCATTTGGGCCTACAGTGACATTCAATATTTTACGTACTTACAAAAAAGTAAAAATAAGCAAAAGGCCAATACCGGTAATACTTTGAAAATATTAATACCTGTGATACATTGGAAAAATATACATAACAGTGACTTCTACATTAGTCATGATGCGTGATTCAACAATTTATTTATTTGAAAGAAGTAAAATTGAAGAAAATTATATCAGTATGATCTTATCATATTTACAGCATAAAGTTTAGTGCGTTTATTTTGTAAAAGAAACAGGCCCGTAGCCAGCAATTTCCAAAGTGGGGTTCTTTTTCTGAAAAAGTGGACCTTTTCCCACAAAAACTTCATGTACCTAGATCAAATTTTACCCAGAGTGGACCTTTTCCCAGCAAAAGGGGCGGTTCTTTCGAACCCCCCGAACCCCCCCTGGCTACGGGCCTGAGAATGGTTACATTACTGAGCTAATACGTGATAGGCCTACAACTTATGCCAAAAATGACCAAGCGTCTTATGTAAACCGCTCTGAGATGTATGTAGAGTAAGGAAAAAAAGAACTTTTCTTTATCTAAACTTTACTTTTACCTGTATGGCTAATCTCCAGACAGAGAGCAAAACCATAATTTAAGGGATCTACCGTTGCACAGTACTTTGAGAGAAAAGCTGTTGGATGCTGGAATTAGTACAACCTTTATACGGATCGGAAACATAGGGTACAGTATGCTGAATTAACTGAAATATTGTCCAACCGAAAAAGTATAATAATACAAATATGAAAATGTCCCAAAGTCATATTTCCTGTGTCTACGTATCTTGCAAAGCTACTTATCTTTTCCAATTCGGTAAAACCTCTCAAATGAAAGTAATTAATGTTGCTTTTCCCCTCTGAAATGTACAGGAGGACGTGGCATTTTGAGTGTCTGACCGTGCATTGAGAACTAAATTTATTCAATCAAATATAGTACAAAACATCGAATCCAGTTCTAAGTGCATAAATAGTCCACTAATGGTTCGTGTGTAGAATAAAATAGCTGCGAAAATCCCGGATAGGGTAATTTTTAAACAGATACTTGGTGTTCAAACAGTCCATCAAACCATGCAGTGCTGAACTAGGACGCCCCTCTGTAGCTTTAAAGATGTCACCTGCTGTCCTCATAAAAGAAACATATATCTGTTGCACCCGCTGCTGACCCAGAAAATGGTCCAAGGCGAAAGACACTATAATCACGTATAGGAATTGGAGAGTGAAGAGCTACCCTACTCCACACACACACACACACACACACACACACACACACATACACACACTTTTCAACCACATCAGTCATAATGGACTGATTTATTATCCTTTAAATTCAATCAGCTTAGGTGTATTTTAAAATTAGGCATTTAAATGCCTAAATTAACGTCACAGCTAATATTTGCTGGTCATATTACCAGTGAACCGAAGCCTAATTTAGAGTATCTAATTTTTGTCATTACCCACTACCGCCCACTAAAATCTTTATTGATCTATAAGCAGTGCTAGCACTCTATCTATTTTGTTTTAAAAATTATTTTGTTAAATATCATTACGCCCCTGACTTCCGTCATTATGGTTCCCGTTCAAATAAAGAAAGCTTTAAATTCATAAGAAAAAATAGAATACAGATGCGTTTTGATTTTAAATCAAGAATCTTATCATCCTTCTGCTAAAAAATGAAAGTGAAAGCCGTAAATTTTTTTGAGAAAAAAATAATAGGTTTCAATTTTTTAACGGGATGGCAAGTTCGCACAATCTGTCCGTATCTTTGTAGATTAGGTAAAGCCCCATCTTGCATGATCGAACATAGTGCCGCACCAGTGATTTTATCTGGTCGAATCATCCGACCTGTGGAATCTGACCGCTATATCTTATCACTGATACGGCTGAAAACACTTGATTGTTTTATTTTTTTACCATTGTCATTTCAGCGAACCTGAATCAACTTCCAGAGATGGGGATCCATTGTGCCTTATCATAAAATAATAAAAAAAAACATAGGTCTTACACAAAGCATCTAAATCGAGGCTTCCGAACAGAAAGTGGGTGACTTGTATCATTGTTGTGTAAATCAGGTGAGCGTTTTGGTGAGAGGTGTTCAGATAGGACCAAGGTCAGTAGAAGATGAAGTAGACAGAAGCCACGCTGCTACATTTTCCACGTGTAGTCAGAAAATTTAGCACTAAAAACGACAATCTGTTGTGAGTACTGTATAGATACATGTAGTGCAAGATAAGATTGCGTTAACGATATTTTGCAAAAATGTTGCGTTTCGTACTTCAGGCATTATGAGCATGGGGGCATTCTACTGGCGTGAACAATGCTTTCCAATAAGAACCCAAAATCAGCTTATAGCGTAAATATTTTGTTTTGGTTATTTTTCTTGTGTCTTTTTTGTAACTTACCTAACGTATGAATCTATGGTATGGAGGCTGAGGAGTTTGTTTTCGTGCAACATGGTATATATATAGATAACGCTGTACATTAAGTGTGTGCTTGCATAGAAGGTCTTAGTTCAATATACACATTCTTTACATTTAAGTAAATTGTGAATGTTACATATAATATGTCATGTTTGATTTGCTGTAACGATTATTTTCTGTTTTGTCAAATCTACATCAGACAAGTATCGCCATTGAATATTTCTTCGTTTAATTTCAGTAACTTTAATTGCCATTTACGAGGAGATTAGATGTGTCTTCCATCAGAGACATCAGATTCGTGATCGACGGTGCCCACACCCATGTCAAGATTGTCTAGCTTCCCGCAGTTTGTCATCTAGTTAATTTACAAGGTTGACATGAAATATCATGTGTTATGTTGTGTCAAAACGTATAACAAATGAATAATTGCACGTAATAAGCGTTTTATTCACGAAACATCTGATCATAAAAAAATGTAAGTAATTTATCTTAACCTGCGTGTCGCTTGTTTAATACTATGCATATGTAGCACAGCACTGTAACCGCCCTTTGCTTTTTTATTGTAATTTGTTTATACCCTTGGGTTGGGAGGGATTTTCCATCCGTTTTGGAACTCTTTGTGGAGTACAGGGGAATAATGTCAGGGCAAAACATGCAGTGCTTAAATGTTATATGAAAACGAAAGTTATACAATGATAGTTGTAAGATTATTTTTAAGTGATGTACTGTTGGAGTATGTGCTAGCACGACCAATTTTCTGTTACGACGAAAAAGATATGTAGGCAAATCTGCAACTAAACGCCCAACTGTGGACTTGAAGATGTTTGTTTTAAATTGAATTCAAATACTTGTTTTGATTAAGTAAACTTTGGGAAGAAAAAAATCGTTGTCGCAACTCCATTGCGTAAAGTGCATATGAAATTTTCTTTTCGGTAAACATATATTGGTGTGTTCTGTTGATGTAGAAAACGATACATAAAACTCCAATAACTTGGAAACGCTGAAATCCAAGTTCTAGCTCTTCAAAAATAACAGCATTATGCAACTGCCAAAATGTGCCCATGTCATTGCATATTTGCCTACACGAAGCGTAAGCTCTTTCTGAAGTTGGGAATATGCGATTGTGACGCGTGCTAAGAATAAAGCTCCCTTTGGTATTCGGTGTTTTGATGCCGTGTGTCTGATCAATGCCAGGCCCATATTTTTACTGTTGGGAGGGGATCAAATGCTTCAAGAAAGTGAAACTGAGTTGGGTAGAGATTTTTTTCCGAAATTGATCTGCATTTGGCATTGAAGTAGAATGCATGTTGTGAACATGATAACAGAAATTGCCCCTGCTTAAGCTATAAAAATTCTAAAAATTCTTTCAAGCATTTTATTGTCAATATCACCATACATAAATAGTTAATGATCGCTAAAAGGAAACATCTAATAGTTCATTTCGGACTGCCATTTATCTTGATCTTAATCTTGTACATTTTAATTTTTCGAAAATTTTTTTACCAAAATCATATTTGACCTAGTTACTTCGCAAAGCTCGATTTTTCTTTGGGTAATGAGACTTCAAAAACAATGGGTTGAAGATTTTTTGGCCTTCAACTTTTGTCAATATTTTCAAAATAATATCTGAAATAGTTTAACGGGAAACTTACGGAACTTTGTAGGGACACTTTTCCCATTTATTCTTGTATTACTTTCGATATTAATTTGTCAGATGTGTATATATAAAATAACACTTCGATTGGTTTGATAATTTTGATTCGAATTGCAAGCCAGCATTCTATTTGAGTTTGAACTTGTATTAAGTGATTTCTTAATTCTACATTTGGTCGGGATCAAGGGTGATTGAGAAGAAAAGGCTTGATAAGACGTAATTTTTGCACGTCCTTTTGGATTATTTTTACTGGGTGTCTCTCGATCACTGAACACCGGAGAACACAGTTGAATTTAATAACATTTTTTTGCCTTTTGCGTAACTTTTTGAGCTTTGTATATTGTTCTAAAAATGGTAACACGTGTAAGACTGGGATAAGCTTGTATAGTGACCATATCAGTAGGCTGCTCGTGACTAGCGCACGCTCTGCAAATGCACATTTCAGTTTTGGCTTAGATGTTCGGCATCGAGTACAGATTTTCGGATTTTTTATTTGAAGAAAAATTTATGTAAGACAATCTAATTTCAGTGATGAGCAAAACAACGTAAATACATGGATGCGTGCTCGTGTCCGGGGGATAAAGTTGACGTGAGATTATATGCATTTTGAATTTGACATCATTCACTAAATTTGGACAAAAATTTCCCTTCATTAAAGTTGCGATCAATCAAAACTTGAATATTTAAATGGTAACTTTGAACCAAAGTTTCACAGTAGATCCTCCTATCTACGTATTGTTTATGGCCAAATAACGTACTTTTTGGTTGTGGTTAGAAATATTTTGACCGTACTGTTCCTAAACTTCAAAATAATAGTTTCAGCAACAATTTTCAAAATGCATAGAATCACTGACACGCGTTTTTGATAGTTTTTTTTTAATCTTATTATTTGAAATACGATATTTTATTGAAATTGTTTT